TACTGTCTTGGACCACACGGCTGGTTCCATTTGCTAATATGTATTCCCCATGTGTTTGACTTATTAGACAACCTGCGTATGGGCTTAAATTGACAGTTTTCTGAGATGGGTATTAATTTTAGAACGAAAAGGGACAAATTCGTGAACTCGGACTAATGCCCAGCATACGCCCCGAGTAAATTCAATGTCAAAGGACTAGTTTTTTTTGGTTTAAAAAAAAAAAAAAAAAAAATTCTATTAATGCTGCCGTATTTTGTTGGTTTTATGTTTTTGCAGATTATGGCTCGAAGGGCACAAAGAACCAACCCTCCCGAGGATGTGACCGATCATCGCTTTTTACAATTTCCGCAAACACTGAGCGATGCTACCAGGGCGCGTTATAGCACCAACTTGAGCCTGCTTCTCACAAAGGAGATTGATATTGCACCCTCTTTCGACTGGGAGTTGGCTACCAGGACTGGACTTGCTGCATTGATCCAGGAATTTTTGCAATACACACACTCGGACGCGAGTGGGTGGAATTGTTTGTGTGTCAGGGATGGGCGCGTTTGTTCAGGATCCAGGAGCCGGTATATCGAGAGTTTTTGCTGGAGTTCTATGCTACAGTTTCCTATGATCCTAGGAAGCCACTCAATGACAGGACAGCCTTTGCTTTCAGACTGGGAGGAGTGAGCCGGGAATGCAGCGTGATAGAGCTTGCTACTCGGGTGGGTATTTACACAGCCGATGAGACAAGGAGTGTCCACTTCCCGACATTTCTTGCTGACTGTCTCACGGAGCGGCCGGAGGACTACAATGAGAACACTTTTTGGGCCGAGATTACGGGAGGAATTTATACACCATCTACCGCTCGAGGGGGATGATTCGGTCTACTACATACCGAATGTTGCACCGGTTGATTTCTATGTCTCTCACGCATCACAAGAATAGTGAGAGAGTGCCTTCGACGACCTGTATTTCCTATGGGCACTAGTTACTCCAGGGAGGCACCTGAACCTTCCAGTTGCTTTAGCTGCATACTTGGGACGGAGGGCCAGGGGACTTCGGGGAGATAGCCCGATATGCGGAGGGCATTTATCACACGATTAGCTCGATCATATCAGTTGATGACACGTGAGATCACGAGATCGATGGTGTTTCACGACATGAGGCCAATGAGTCTTCAGCTATTGGAGTCGATGCGCGTATTAGAGCGGGGCGGAGATGGTGTTTTGAGGGTTCGAGCAGATGATGTGGCGGATGAGGAGGGTGCCGCCGAGCCACAGCCGAGACGGGTCCCGCGGCGTAGACCTGCTCCTCGGGGAGCGCAGCAGGGACCTGAGCCGGAGATTGATATGCGCTATTTAGCTCAGGGCATTGATCGTCTTGACTTGAGGGTCCAGAACCTTAGCGAGTATGTTGCACATGTGGACGCGCAACAGCGGTGGCAAGGGAATGCGTTGAATGCATTCTTTGCCCATCAGGGATTTCAGTATTCGGTTTCCTTTCCACCACCATTCCAGTCACGATTTGACGGGGCCGGTACTTCTGGGACACAGCCACATGATGATGGAGATGACGAGTGATCCTTTTTATTTTGTTTATTTGTTTGTTTTGTGTTAATTTTAGTTTAAGTTTAGTTTTTAGTATTTGGTATGTAATTAAACTTTGATTTAGTTTGTTTTACTTTTGTTTTCCATGTTGATGCTCTATGGTTGTTTAGATTTATGCAGAATATTCGCCCTTAGGAAGCTGGCAGTAAGTTCAGCAGCTAGGTCCGACTGTTGCTAGAGAGAGTCATGTGAGAGTTCGAAGGTTACAGTCAAGACCCACAATTTGTCATAAGTGTGGGGTGCATCTTTATTAGAGTTGTATTTCGATGCAAGGAAGAAATATCGTTCCGACTGACACGACGTGGTTGACACTTTCCCACGTCATGGTTATTATACATTGCATCTAATTGCAATATTTTGTACCACATTTTCGAAGATGGCGGTCTTGATTTTATTTTTCGGCAAATTTAGAAGCAGCAGTTCCAGTTTTCAGTTTTTCAGCAGTATTTGAAGCAACCTGTAGCAGCCCCATTCGATCTCGCCACAACTACCCAGGGGAGTCTGTTCCTTTTTCTCCCTTTTTATGTTCTTAATTTGTTTTAGCATACAATGAGGGCATTGTATGAAATAAGTGTGGGGTAGGGGGTCGGTAAAAGTAAATTATAAAAATATAATAGTTGGAAATTGCTAGATTTAGGGAAATTTAAAAATTTAAAAGAAAACTTGAAATAATAGTTTAATTTAGAAAAATCTAGTGATAATTTAAAATTTTGCTAATATTGTATGAGATGATCCGATGAGAACTCAAATGTTTAGTTGAGCCAATATACGTTATAGTGCATTTGTGGCTTCCCTTATTTTAGTGAAATCATGGAACAAAAACATAACCCCGCTCGGTTTGAAGGATGCAATATGTTTAGCAGCCTAAACCTGAAATGTATCCAGGAAAATTATTATCATTAACCAATAAAGGTTGAGGTTGAGCGCCTCTGCTTAAGCATGTAGGTTTTGAGTGAAAAAAGAGAGGTACATGAAAAAAAAAAGAGAGAATTACGAAAAAGTTTGAAGAATTTTGGAGCAAATAAAGTGAAGATCAAAAGATCAAAATTCTGAAGAAATCCAAAAAGTTGAAGATACCAAGAAATCAAATCAAATAAGGTGGTGAATTCAAAGAAATCAAAGATCAAATTGTTCAGAGAAATGAAGAATTCAAAGAAAGCTCCATAGTGGTATCATAAATTGTAATTCTAGATTATGTATGCTTAGGTTGCTCAACTAAAAATACCTTGAGGTTAGGAGGTTTTCTGAGGATGGATTCGGAGGGTTGCATAAAATGAGCATTGTTCGGAAAAAGTGGGCAAGTGTTTATGAAGATTGTGAGTATTTAAAGTATGGGGGGTACTTAGGAAAATTTTAGACACAAATGCATGCGTTGAGGTCTTGGCATAATGGCTGAGTTTTAAATGGATTGTTTAGTGCGATATTGGTAAAATAAAAGTAATTTGCTTGGGGGCAAGCAAAGGCTAAGTGTGGGGTATTTTGATATGTGTATTTTTAGATATATTTTTATGCACTTTATCTTAATATTTTGGCCTTATTTATTCTATTTTAGAACTAAAGAGTACTCATAATGCTTTGAATTATGTTTTGCAGCTATTTGTTGTCAATAAAGCACAAGAGAAAAGACTGAAGCGGAAACTGGGCTTAGAAGCTAAAAGAAAGAAAAGGGTGCTGAGGTAGCGAGTATGCCCCGCGTACCTTAAGGTTACGCCCCGCATACCTGCTTGCATCGGATAGACTTAATCGCGTGATTATCCATAGTACGCGCCGCGTAATCCTAGTACGCCCAGCGTACTTAGGTCGGCCACAAAGATTATAAATGTCGATTTTAGCTAACCAGGAGGGGGATTCGACTTCTAACCTAATTTAGTCGACAATTAACTTCTGTTAAGCCGTTTTGAGGGTCTAGAAGGCGGCCGGAAGGCCGTTAAGCTAACGGGAGCAGAGATCTGAAGGATTGGAGAGCGGATACATGTCGGTAATCATATGGATTGCTAACGTGACCATGTTTAGCACTTCCTTATGGTACTTTTTGTATTTAGTTTCTGATTTGGGTGTAAAAACCTTTTACTTTGTGTTTATGATTGAATGAAGTTTTGATTCTTAGACTAATTGTTATGTTAAATAATTTATTTGTGTTTAATTTATCTTGCCAAGCTTGTTCAAAGATCCTCATGTTTAATGATGATTATTTGCTGTTAATTGTTAAGTGAATTAAGTTGTATGAAAACCTGCTTGATTTGCTTGTCTCTTATGATTTTTGATGACCATTGAGATTATAAGACTAGAAATAACGAATGTGAAACTAGGATTAACATGGGAATAAATAAGTTAATGTGTGAGCCTTGTTTGATGACCATCAACAAGAGGTTAATTAAATGTTTAAATTAACTAAGTTTACAAGTCTTGCTTGATACGAACTGAACACTAGGAAGCATGTTAGTTTAATCAATTGATCACTGTTTGAATTGACTTGTTTGCTAAAGGATTAGTTATAGTGAACACGAATCTAATCAATTTAGGAATCGGTGAACACGAATAAATGAATTTGTGTATGCAATTGTTTATGTTTTCAAGGTGGAATTTGTCTGAACCAAAGTACCTAAAGAGATTTGTTTTCCTGTTAGTTTATCGAGGATGGTTAATTAATTATTAGTTTGAGATTTATTAAATTATTTCTTTTATTCTTTTCGTGTGATCTATAATCAAATATATTAAATTAATCCACCGTTCCCTGTGATCGACACCCGACTTACCTAAGCTATACTGTAATCTGACTAGGTACACTGCCTATAAGTGCATAGTTAGTCTAAGTTTGTTAGGTTATAAATATTAAAATTAATGGGTACTTTCGTGCACATCATTCAGCATGACAAGACACATGTTGATGAGAATCGAACAGTCTTTGCCGATGGTTAGACCAAAACAGCAAGGTCTATCACACGCAACAATCCTCTCTTCACCTTCTTCTCATTCAGTGTCTAATGATTCAGTAAGAAATACCACTCACTGATAAAGACTCGACACTCTGTGCCGATGGTTAGATAGTTAAACTAGTATCTATCACACGCACCAATCACCTTGCTAACCCTAAACAAGCAAGTTGTACCTTGAATTGACGACAAACTATCTTTCAGCACGTAACTTTCCGTGATAACAATCTTAGCGCTTCCGCAGTCACTGATTGTCATTTCCTTTTTGGCACAACGACTCTATTTACCCAATGACTATTTTTTTTGATTTGACAGTCTGTCAAGATACGCAGTTATTTTCGATGAAGATAATCATTACTTTTTTTTACCATTTCATTCCCTATTTAAACCTTTTCACCTCTTCCCCAAACCTTTTTACCTTCCTCCAATCTTCTCTCTCTCTTAAAAAAAAACCCTAGAATCCTAAACTTCTTCAATGGCGAAATTTATGTTCACCTTCTCCTCCACTTCAAGAAGGGTCATCCCAGTTCCAAACTCTCCTCCTCTTCCCATATACATCAAAGCCACAAACTTCGTTTTCAACCCTGATATTCCAGATTTTCATCGAGGTCTTGGAGTTGATGATTTTGTCAATTTCTTAGTCTCCTGCCGATTTCAATACGGAATCAGCAACGTTCCATCAGAGTTCTTTCCCAAACAAGTATGTGAGTTCTACTACACTGCAACGATTAATGATGAAAACAACATCATCTCCGGGACTATTGGCCGTGGCAGACACTCAGTTTTTATTACCGCTGACCTCCTCAGTGCTGCGCTCAGGTTACCAATCTTTGAACCATTCTCTGAGCTTCCACCTATTGAACGCTGTCGACGCCTATTTGATCAACTAAGATATGATCACTCAAAGGCTGGTACTCGATCAGCTCTCATTCGGCATCAATGTATGACTCCAGGATGGAAGTTCTGCAGCGGTGCTCTGTGCAAATGTGTGGGTCACAAATCTCGCAGTGGTGATCAACTGAGCACTTATGAGCAACAAGTCATCTGTTCCCTTCTTCTCAACAAACGACTTGATTATAGGGCTTTCTTCATTGATCAGCTTGTCCAACTTCTTCGTGAAAATGTACGCTCTGATCATGTCCCCTTTCCACGCTGGATTGCTCTTGTGCTAGATAAATTTTTCGCTGAAGCTTACTACTCCCACTCTGGAAACCCCATCTAATGCCCACGCATGTCAGTGCGAATGTATCAGGATGATCCATTGGAAACTGACATCGGCATCTCTGATAGGATGAGAGAATGGATCGCAAATCCATATACTATTCCTTCACTTACCGCTGATACTAATGAAGGAGCTGATGGTAACAACGAAGATCATGCTGATCAAGAAGTTGAATCACAGGATGGTGGTCATCTCTCCCCTTAACTTTATCATCATACTCTCTCTGTCACTGAGAGAGTTCACTCAGCTCAAGGGGAGCCACTATCTCAGGGGGAGCAACCATCCCAGGGGGAGCCACCATCTCAGGGGGAGCTACCATACCAGGGGGAGCACCTATCCCAGGGGGAGCAACCTTCTCCGGGGGAGCAACATCGCTCTCACGAAGTTCCAGGTACTCAATTCGTTCATATACCAGCCTCAACATTTAATGAGCTTCTGACACTGACTCAGTACATGAGTCAGCGTCTTCTACGAATTGAGGTCGATGTCCATCAGCTGAAGGGAGTTCTCTTGCCAAATCCTTCCCCTAGCCCACAACATGATGAGGATCAAAAAGGGGGAGAAACTGATGATGATCAAAACGAGGGAGAAACTGAATCTGTTGAGCTCAGATCTGAGGATAACATTTTAAACCGGACTGAGCCACCACATCCAGAGCACAAGTCTGATAGACCAGTTGTTGACGAGTCTGATAGACTAGCAGATACTGAAAACCTTGCTGAAGATAGTGAGCATGATGATGAACATGATGATGAGTGTCAGATGCTGGACATGAACTTCATTGATCCGACTATTCCAGTTCAAGGAGAAGCCTCAGATGATAAAGAAGATGAACATGATGATGAATTTCAAATGCTAGATATGAAATTCATTGATCCCATTATGCCAGTTCAAGGAGAAGATTCAGATGTAGCTAATGAGGATACTCAACCTCTATCTCGCAAGCGCAAGGCAGCAGATACTGACTTGGCTTCTTCACACACTGATACTTCTCTTCCTAGCAAGAAACCTAAGTCCATCGTCAGCATATCCAACTTGGCAGCTGAATGGAACATGTCTCCTGATCAAGTTAAGCAAATTCTTGATGAAGCCAATCAAGCTCAGCTTCTAAAGAATATTGCTCAAGCTGATGAATCTCTCATTCAGCATAAACTTTAGGCCAAAGGATCCATTGAAGCTCAAATGCAAAAGTTCTTAGAATATCAGTCCAAATCCAAATCTTCCCAGCCTCCTCCCAGTTGAAGCATGTCAAGGACTGAAAATGTTCTCGACAGGATTGATCGCAAGAGGTTTCAAGATGTTCTTAAACGAAGAGTGAGCAGTGATAAGATCATCAAGGTTAAATCCTCTAAACCTCGTAACGAGAAAATTATTACTTTGCTAATCACTCGTCAAGGTCTTCAACATCCATACACTGAAGTTTTCAAGAGGAATGAGCTGATCAGATATGGATATTCTGAATGGTTGGAGTTGCTCGAATTAGCATCCAAGCAAACTTCGGCTCTCTCTTCAGAACTGACATGTGCTCTCCATCTACTGATCAAGAAAGTTCAGTGTCTGGATCTTGTTCCTATGCAGCGTTCTCAGCAGCAAGGCCAAAGTTCCTCAGTTCCAAGAAAATCAGAAGGACTAGATTTCAAGTTGATAGTGAAGATGTGTTGCTTTTAAATTTTGGTGCTGAAGGAATAAACAACTCTCTTCCTATCGGTGTTGAGCCAGTTCAACATAAGTTCATCTCTGTTCTTGAACATGGAATGTTTTATCTCGATAAAAACAGAAGAATGTGCTTTCAGCGCACCACAGAAATGCCAAGAGCTCCAACAGCACATCTTGTTGGCTTAAGACAAATGTGCATGAGTAATCAAGATCTATCTGGAGAGTTTCACATACTGATTGCTATGGAGTTGCTGAATAGAAGATAGGAGCTGCTGGATAGTCCTTACTGGCCTGTGAAAATAGAAGTTGAAGCTGAGCATGAAGAATTTTTGTCCAGAGGTGTTCTCGTATAGCAGTTGTTTTGAACATCATCATATTGGTGGAGACTGTAAGGTCGAACCTTATAATATGATGATGTTTGAAACTAATCCCTCAGCATCAGCATCAGCATCAGCATCAGCATCAGCGTCAGCATACAAGTTGTTCAGTATATATATTGTCTTATATGTAACAGATTTAGTATTTATCTTGTTTCCATAGTTATCATATATTAGTTAGCTGGAACATCCCTGATTTGTAGGGATTGTCTATAATAGTTCTATATAATCTTTTGTACGGGTTTGTGAAGGGGTTGTCTCTCACAAACCCTAATAGCCGCTTTGTGCGAACAATAATCTCTTTGTGAGATTATCATTCTTAGTGAAAGCTCTTTGTGATACTTCATTGTTCTCTTCTTATTATTAGTCATTGTTTGATAAATCGATTGATCTAAGGTTCTTTCAAACCTCTTGATCTGATCCATACTCTCGGATCTAAAACAAACCTCCTGATCTGATCCATACATCTAGATCTATAACAAGTTTATCTCTTTATCCTTTTATCTCATGGTCCAACCCATCTTTTATCACCTACCAACAACATCATTTACTCATGTTCTACCCAACATATTTTTAGATACAAAATACATATATAGTTTTACTCATTAAAACTTATATAATTCATCCATTCCACAATCATCTCAAATAAACAACAATATATTATACACATAGCACGTATTCATAGCAAATACTTAATATTTATTTGTTAGAAGAAAGCGACTATACACTCACTTGATCAGAAGATGATTGGACAGCACTACGAGTATTAAAATAATCTTTTGCGACGAAACCGGAATGTTTCCTACAAAATCGGGCTTCACGCGGGCAGAGCTTCGGCTCGGAAATTTTACATCTCGGGATCTTCGGGGCTTTGCGACTTTCTTCGGGTCTCGGGAATGATACCGGGGGGCCCTCAACTTCTATTTATAGAGAAAGGAAGATTTGAGCAAATAAAGTCGACAGCCCTCAACTTCTATTTATAGGGTGCTGAAATAAGGATTACGGTGGGCGTAATTTTGGAGTACGTTGGGCGTACTAAGATCTACGTTGGGCGTACGCTTCGGATCAGGCCAGAGACCTCATTGCTTACGAACCCATGCACTCGAGTATTGGGTCAGGCCGATGTGGCCCATTTCAGTTCATGTATATGGGTACGCTGGGCGTACTCCATTACGCTTAGCATATACCGACATACCAAACATCAAAATTGCGTAACTTTTGCATTTGAGCTCCGTTTTTTATTTTCTTTATATCCACGCGTAGGTGAGACTATACTCTACAACTTTTATTTAGACTTCGTTGGCTAATTTTGAATTTCTTTTTATTATATTATTTTTAACAGGCCGGGACATGATAAGCCCGTTAAAAATCCATAACTTCTTCTTCCGATGCCCGTTTTCGTCTGTCTTTTTACTATTGGACTACTATTGATGAGATCTTAGATTCTCGTTTAGATTGTTTTGGCTAAAAACCGCTCGATTTCAAATCGAATATTCAGACTGCATACCGCTAAGTCGAAACGTAGAAAAATCATAACTTCATCATACGAAGTCAGATTTGGACGTTCTTTTAATGCACACTCTCGGTTTAACGAACTCTACGGCTTCCATTTAGATCACTAAGGCTAGATATCACTCTAACATAAATTCACATTCTATGCTGCGCTGTGTCGTGCCGGTTCTATCGCGAAACTTCGACAGGTCATAACTTCTTTGCTATAACTTGGATCTCAATGTTCTTTATATGTACGGAATCCGTGTAACACATAATACAACTTAGTTAAGATTATTCCTTCAAAATAATCTTCCATCAAAAAGTCATTTTTGACGCTTACCGTCTCTAAATTGACTACCCCTGAATCACGGACGATCTGAAACAAGATGTTACATTAAATATGAAGGGAAACATAAAAGTCATGGGCTAGGGCCTCTAGAGCCTGATCAGTTGCCACGTCGTGGCCTTCCTTAGCGATGCCATGGTGGTCCAAAAATAACGCAACCAATTAACCATTTCCACTTTGTGGCCTCCCTTGGCCACGTCGTGGCACATAGTTTCCTTTAAAACTCCATCTTAGGTCCTTGCCACAGTTAGGTTTAACCAATCTGGATACGTGTGTTACAAATTTCATTGTTCATTTTCAAGAACCGTATGAGCAAAAAATGTATCCATGAAAATTAGTCTGTTATCGTATTTTTAATCGGAACAACTTTTCATCAAGAATGACTGATTTTTGACATATACCACTTTTTATCTTCTGAAAAATCGTCTTGGTGAACCTATATATCTTATTAAACACTTTATTTTTGTTCATTCATACAAGCATAATAGAAAATACAGATAGTTCGAGACAAATGGTACAAAAAGGAAATTATAAATTTTGTTAATTTCTTAACATCATTATAGCAAACTAGTAGTAATAGTGACCTATATATTTCAATAATTTATTTCAGATATCACGTAGCACTTTTATAGTTCTGTGCACCTTTAAGTGAGTCAACCATAGATCATATTCTGAAAGTCATGATAATGATGGTAATCAATTTTAAGTGCTTTCATCTTCCTTTTTCTGTTATAGATATAGATAATTTGTGCGTAATGTCATATTATTTATTCTCTAAAGTATGCCTTATTTAGCTGTATTTTGGATTGTCTTTTTTTGGACATGGAATTTCTAGTATTGATTCTATCGCATGAGACTACACAATTTACAACCTAGTGTGTCTTTTTTTTTTTTTTTTTTTTTTTTGTTCATGTCTTTATGTTTAGCAGGTACGTGGTTCCACAATTCGATGTATTTGAAATCTACTTAGAATCTCATAAATAAATATTTTATATATAAAAATCATGTAGATATTAGGTGATTAAATTATAGAATCTTACGAGTATTTTAACAACAAAATATTTTTATGTAGGGTGGAAAATAAAAAAGTGTCACTAAAAACTTATAATGTGTAACTAAAAGCAACA